TATAAGTCTTTGTTCTACTATGGTTGCAAATATCAAAAAATTTCTATATGTGACATGGCACCAGAGTTAAGTTAGGGTTTTTCAAAATGCTGACACGCCAAGCTCAAAAGGTTCGCCATCACTGACCTATGGTCTAACTGATAACATAAGTAGTCAATTAACACATATTTTGTATGTAATACGTATTATCCTATATAATAAAAGTGTAATAAGCTAAGTGTCTGACCAATCGGTCAACCGTTCAGTCGACCGCTCGACCAGTTGCTATGACGTGCATTGGCCACCAAGGGACAGACATTCCAACCAGTAGGTTAGCTTGCTGCTGGGGTCTGGCCGATAGGGACTGGGTGAGAGGGCCGGACACATCCTGGAGCCCTCCCGCAGTCCCTCCTCGGCCTGCCAGCCCCCATCGGCCCCCATCGGGACTGGGCGAGATGGCCCCCAATCGGCCCCGATTGCTGGCCAGGCCAAGGAACCCCACCTGTTCACGAATTCGTGCACCAGGTCTCTAGTGTACTATATTCTTACAATAAAATAAGCTAGAGAAAAGACAATGTTATTAAGAAAATTATAAGGAAGAGAAAACAAATTTTCAGTATTGATTTAAAAAACCTGCCTATAAGTGGACCCACACGATTCAAACCCATGTTGTTTAAGGGTCAACTGTATTTTTAGAAAGTGCAGGTCTTTGTGGGGACATGGCCTTTCATTTGAGGCTAAATCCTAGGAGCAGGATTGCCTGGTTATAGGGTGGGAGGATAATCAGTTTTAAAAGAAATTGTAAAATTGTTTCCCAAGTGGCCGCATCATCACTCATGTTTTTTAATGTTTCCTGATGTATGAAGGGTGGCTTTTGGGGAAGGGTGCCATTTGGTCAACAGACCTGTTTGGAAAGGAGACCTTTGAGCTATAATGCTGAAAGCCACTGGGCTTTGCAGGGCTCTGGTTGTTCTCCTGGATCCCTCAGAATTAGGTAAAAATGTTTCTCATAGTAGGAATGTGGGATGTGAGCTTCTTAACTTATTTATTTATTTATTTATTTAATCTTTTGTTGAGATCAATATGGTCTTATGGATTATTTTTATGCTTTGAATGATAATCCAATATTACTTATTTCATTGCTCAAATTGTGTCCAGCTTTAGCCTCCAGTCTCTTCCCGCATCCCCCACACCCCTCCCCCCCCTGAGAATAGTCAGTCCACTTCCTTTCTATGCCCCTGATTCTATTATATTCACCAGTTTATTCTGTTCATCAGATTATTTATTCACTTGATTTTTAGATTCACTTGTTGATAGATGTGTATTTGTTGTTCATAATTTGTATCTTTACCTTTTTCTTCTTCTTCCTCTTCTTAAAGGATACCTTTCAGCATTTCATATAATACTGGTTTGGTGGTGATGAACTCCTTTAGCTTTTCCTTATCTGTGAAGCTCTTTATCTGGCCTTCACTTCTGAATGATAGCTTTGCTGGATAAAGTATTCTTGGTTGTAGGTTCTTGGTATTCATCACTTTGAATATTTCTTGCCATTCCCTTCTGGCCTGCCAAGTTTCTGTTGAGAAATCAGCTGACATTCGTATGGGTACTCCCTTGTAGGTAACTGACTTTTTTTCTCTTGCTGCTTTTAAGATTCTCTCTTTGTCTTTTGCTCTTGGCATTTTAATTATGATGTGTCTTGGTGTGGTCCTCTTTGGATTCCTTTTGTTTGGGGTTCTCTGCGCTTCCTGGACTTGTAAGTCTATTTCTTTCACCAGGTAGGGGAAGTTTTCTGTCATTATTTCTTCAAATAGGTTTTCAATATCTTGCTCTCTCTCTTCTTCATCCATAATTCGGATGTTGGTACGCTTGAAGTTGTCCCAGAGGCTCCTTACACTATCTTCATATTTTTGGATTCTTTTTGCTTATCTGGTTGGGTGTTTTTGCTTCTTCATATTTCAAATCTTTGCCTTGATTCTTGGAATCCTCTACTCTGCTTTTGGATCTCTGTATATTATTCTTTATTTCAGTCAGTGTATGCTTAATTTCTGATTGGTCCTTTTTCATATCCTTGAGGGTCTCACTAAATTTCTTGGAGGTTTCTAGAAGATTCTTGAGTAACCTTATATCTGTGGTTTTGAACGCTATATCCAGTATTTTGCTTTCATCCATTTATTTCATTTGTGACTTATTTCTTTGTCTCCACATTTTGGCTGCTTCCCTATGTTTGTTTCTATGTACTGGGTAGCTACTAAGTCTCCTTGAGTTGATAGAGTGGCCTTGTGTGGTAGGTGTCCTATAGGGCCCAGTGGCTCAGCCTCCCCAGTCACCTGAGGTGGACACTCTTGGTGCACCCCTTTGTGGGCTTTTTGCACAGTCTTGTTTTAGTTAACCCTTGATTGCTGTTGGTGTCATTGGGAGGAATTGACCTACAGGCCAATTGGCTGTGATGACCATCTGTGTCTACACTGAAAGATCTGTTGCGCAGGAGACACCCTTATGGGGCAGGACTTACTTCAGTGGGGCTTTGGTGCTCACTGAGTCTGCCCCTTGAGTGTGTCTTTTATGGATGTGAAGAGTTGTAATCTGGTATGGTCTCACTCTGACCACTGGGTACACTGGCTCTTGGATCTCCAAAAAGGTGCAAAGTCAGCCACTGTCTGGGGCTGCCCAGCAGGAGCTACAGAGACATCTGCAGATTCCTACTCTTTGTATGGGGTTTGGAAATGCCCAGATGAGGCCCAGCTGTGAAGCAAGGCAGGATGCTGCTGCCGGCCTTGGGCCTTCTTTTGGAAGCTCTGGGGCTCTCTGACCCAGCTGCAGTTTGACAGGTTTTAGGTGGAGAGAGGACAGGACATTCATATGCAAAAGCTGATGCACACAGCTTGGGTGGGATCCTAAAGTGGGTGGGGCGGGGTCTCTGGGAATCACCAGGGCAGAGCAAACACAATGGCTGCCAGTCAGCCCTGCACTGGAGAGGTCCCCGGGTCTCCGTGTCCCACGCCCCCGTGCAGGAACAACGATCGCTGCGAGCACTTCTGAGAGAAAGCCACCCTCGCATTCCTGTTCCGATGCCAGACAGTCCAGTTTCTCTCCATATGTGTCTGGGTCCCCCAGAGTCTCACCTGGAACTGGAGTTCAGAGCAAGCGAGAGCTTGTATCTCCCTCCTCATTAAAAGAGCAGCACATCCAGGTGCCAGCACTTTCCGTGCCTCCCCACCTCTTACCGGTCTCAATGCGCTTTCTTCACCTCTCTAGTTGTGGAACTTCCACTCCGCCAGCTTTCCCGTGGTTCTGGGTGGTAGTTGTTCTGCCTTTTAGTTGTAATTTTGATGTGGTTGTGAGAGGCAGCAAGTACAGGTGTTTACTTATGCTGCCATCTTGGTTCTCGCTTCTTGACTTTTAGATTCTGGGGGCAGAGGGACTGAGTAGGACTCCTGGGAAGAGGGCTTGAAAATACACATTTTAAACAAGCTCCCTGGGTGAATCTGAGGTGCCTTAATGCTTGGGAACCTCTAAATGTGGGGGTGTGGGGAGAAGGCAGGGCATTCCAGGTGGGAAGAACTTCAGGAGCAAAATCCCTGAGATGAGAGAGAACAGATCACAGAGGCGGGGCTCAGGGATCCGGGGCCTCAGATGCCTGCCAGAAACCTGGGACTTGCTGAGGACACTGGGGAGCCATGGCAGGTGTAAGTGGGGGCGTGAGTGGTTGGCTTTGGGCTTTTGTCTGTCTTTAACTCACTGAACTTCTCAACAACCTCAGGAAGCAGAAACTGATAATAGTACCACCATTCACAGATCAGAGGCAGAGAGGTGAAGCAACCTGGCCTGGGAAAGTTGGGAATTAGCCGATTTAGGGTCCTGACAGGCAGAAAGGACCCATGGGAGGGGTCCCACCTGGCTGCCACAGTGTGTGTGTGTGTGTGTGTGTGTGTGTGTCTACTCTCAGGGAAGGAATGATGTGGAAACCATGGCAGGCAGAGGGCAGGCAGAGGAGGGGGTGTCGATTTCCACTTTGCAGACTCTCCCTTGCCCTTATTTTTAGGTGCCTGGCTCCCGGCAACTCCCTGCCCTGCCCTGGATTCTAACCTGGAGACAGCTCTGACTCTACGGGCCACACTCTTCTTTCTCCTCCTCGTCCTCCTCCTCCTCCAATGAGGACAGGTGGGCAAGCCACCAGAGAGGGTGTGGGTTTGTGATGCCTGGGGAGAGTCTCTGGTTGTTGGGTTGTCCTGGGCTCTTTGAGTGCTTGTCTGGAAGTCTCCTGGGAACTTCCATGTGCAGTGGGGCTAGGCGCCAGTATGTATTAGTTGGTTTGTCCCCTCCCATGGGTCCTTTCTGCCTGTCAGGACCCTAAATTGGCTAATTCCCAACTTTCCCAGGCCAGGTTGCTTCACCTCTCTGCCTCTGATCTGTGAATGGTGGTACTATTATCAGTTTCTGCTTCCTGAGGTTGTTGAGAAGTTCAGTGAGTTAAAGACAGACAATAAATATGACCATTATTATCTCCTGTCTGCTTCTGTGTGGACCAGTGTTTCTCCTCAGGTGTGATTTGAATCTGTGTCCCTGTGTATCTTATCTGAAGTTCTGTGTATCCAACGTGCCACATACCAGCTGTGCAACCTGTGTGAGTTACTAGACCTTAGTGTGTCTCAGTTTCCTCGTCTGCAAAATGAGTTTAGTATCTGCTTCCTAGGGAGGATGCGGAGATTGAATTAATCACCCCACCTGAAGAGCTGGAACAATCCCTGGCACAGTCAGCCCTGTTGCATGAGTGTCATCACTGGGGTGTGAACTCAGCTCCCAGTGTCTGCAGCATGTTTCCCCTCCAATCTGGGGCAGGAAGCTCCCAGGCCTGTGAGAGTGGCCTCTGTTTCCTCATCTGTGAAACAGGGGTAGCAACAGCACCCACATAGGGTTGGTGTGCATGTGAGATGGGACTGGAGCACACAGCTCCACAACACGTTTGCTGTTACCTTTCCGTATAATAGCAGCACCTCCCTCCTCTGGTCTTAGAGGATGAAATGAACGTGTGCGCACTTAGACGGGCACCCAGCAAGCAGAAAGCACTGGCTGACACGGAATCTGTGTGGAACTCTGCGCCTGTGCTGGCCTGGTGTGGGATGTGGCGTGGGCAGGATGTGGCCGTGGGCATCTGGCCCTACAGGTTTCTCCACCATCCCACTTCCTCCACACCCCCACCTCCTGCCCCCGCCATCGTCCCATCCCTCACTCCAAACTCCTCCTCTGAGGGAGGAGGATTTGGCAGTCTGTGTTGCCTGCCTCAGCCCCAGGAAGGGGTGCTGGCACCCCAAAAACCCAGAGAGTGTTGCTGCTCCCGTCTCTGCTGCTATCTCAGTGTCTCACCAGGGACCCCCATGTGGGTGACTCCCTATCTCTGGCTACAGCTCTCTTTCTGCCCTGCACCTCACACCTTGGTTTCCAGAACAGGAAATGTCAGGGTCCCAAGGGCGTGTCCCAGGTGGGGACAGAGCAGGACCTCCCCCCTCTGCTGACACCCCCTCTGCTGAGAGGAGAGGCTGAAAGAGGGGGTCTTCATTAATTAACCCCCTGCCAAGCTGGATCTTTTTTTAAATATGTTTTTATTGATTTCAGAGAGGAATGGAGAGGGAGAGAAACATCAATGATGAGAAAGAATCATTGATTGGCTGCCTCCTGCACGCTCCCTACTGGGGATTGAGCCTGCAACCCAGGCATGTGCCCTTGACCAGAATAGAACCCGGGAGAACCCTTCAGTCCGCAGACCGACGCTCTATCCACTGAGCCAAACCAGCTAGGGCCCTGTTGGATCTTAATGAGGTGGATAGGCCTCCTTAGAGAGCATTAGCTCCCTTGTCACACCCCAATCCCAGGCCAGCGCTCTGGGGAATTGAGCAGGAGGCTTGGGAAACTGAGGCGGGGCTAAGACCTGGCCGCCTGGTCTGAGACAGGAGGGGGCTGGGGGCCTGAACTCCTGGCTCTGCGGGAGGAAGGGCTGGGGACCTGGCCTCCTCCTTCCGAGGGAGGAGTGCCTGCGGGCCCAGATCCTTCCCACTACACACCCCTCCCTTAAATTTCAGCTGGAGAGCCCCGCCCCCCCGACCCAGTTACCCCGAGCCCTGCGGCGGAGCCCCGACAGTCGCCCGCCCGGATGGAGGAGGTGCAGGA